ATGAGGTAATATATATAAAGTGCTTTACAAACCTTAAAGCACTATTTAACCACTGGCTATTGTTATTTTTCATCACATCCCCTCTCTCCCTTTAGGTCCTACATCTTGTCCCCAGCACCTCTCTTTTGCCCTATCTCTGTTTGCACACCTCTCCCTGACTCACCACCTACAGCCAAAGCTCTGCCATGCCCACGTTGCGGAGGACAAAGGGCTATAAGGGAAGAGACATCCTACATGTATAGAAGATAGAAGCAAAGACGAGTCACTGACGATAAATATCAAAGAGTAATATAGGGGCAGTTAGGTGGCTCAGTGGATAGAGCTCTGGCCTTGGAGTCAAAAGGACCTAAGTTCAAATCCGGCCTCACACACTTGACACTTTTACTAGCTGTGTGACCCTGGGCAAGTCACATAACCTGGATTGCTCACCAAAAAAAGCAAAAAAAAAAAAAGCAATATAGTAAGAACTAGTAAAAACCCATGACAAACAGAGCATAAATTTTAACCATAGCTTCTATGAAAAAAAGTCAGTGGACCACAAACTCAATGTGGGTCAACACTGTGCTATGGTGAACAAAAAAGTACTTTATCTGCTTTCACAGGCAGAGTGTCCAGGATTAGGGACATCATAATGCTCTCTTCTCTGCCTTAGCCAGGCCCTGCAGTGTTCAGTTCTGGATATCACACTTAGGAAAGATATCCAGAAGTACCCAGAGTGGGTGATACCACCCGGTAGGGGCACTGGAATGATCCAGGGGGACAGTAGTAGCTTCGGGTGCAATTGGGGGTGTTGAATAAAAATAACAGGGCGGTACAAGCATAAGGAAAGAGAAGGAATTTTTGAAAAACCATTCATACATGTTTCATCTATTGTATAACAGAGTTAAAGTAGTAGTGATTACATTATTTTCCAAATAACACACAAAATGCAAGTTATAACCCATCAATGGTCAAGTGTGCTGACAGGTCTTAACAAGCAAATGTCAGCAGACGAGTGTGTCATGTATATTGTCAGGAAAGTCAGCATGCATTTGCAGGAATATGTGTGTGTAATGACTTGTTTACAATATGATACTATATGGTTACACGACGCAATATTGCATCATCAAAATTTCAATGCAGAAAAAAAACAAATTTACATTAAATTGTTAAATTTAAGGTGCATCATTTTTTAAAAATTGTATATTTTTTTGAAATGATGCAAATTTTTTGAAAAGTTAAAGGGTTAAAAAACGTAGATTTCTAGAGGGGCGCTGAGTAACTTCTTTTTTTTTTGAAAAGGGGGCAGTAAGCCAAATAAGTTTGGAAATCTCTGATGTAGACAAAGTAGATGGTGGCCAGAAGAAAATGGCTAGGATAGCAGGACTGGAAAACATGCCAGATGAAGAGGTGGATAGAGTGTTGGGTCTGGAGTTAGGAAAACTTGAGCTCAAATTCAGTCTCACATAGTTACTATCTGGGTGACCCTGGGCAAGTCATTTAACCTGTCAGTCTCAGTTTCCTCATCTGTAAGGGGATAATAATAGCACCTGCCTCCTAGGGTTTTTGTGAGAAGAAAATGAGGTAACATGTATAAAACTCTTTTAAAATCTCCAAGAGCTATGGAAATGATAGCTATTAATATCTGTTGAAGGAATTAGGTATGTTTATCACAAAACAGTGGAGACTCAAGGTGAGGGCATCAATTATCTGAAAGACTTTCAGGTGATTGCAGGACTTGTTATTTAGGGTCTTCAAACAGAGGCTAGACTTGGGCATGTTAGGAGAGGGATGCTTGGTCAGGTCCAAGTTGGGCTAGATAAACTCGGGTCCCTTCCAGATCTTAGAGAGGGAATTCTGTGAATTCACTTTCATTTCCTTTAAATGTTTGAGTAATCTTGTGTATTTTTTAAATAATTGCACTCAAAATTGTATTGATTTCAAAAGGATCTCACTTTAAAGGTGGGTTCTATTATCAATGGATCCCTGCTTTCAGACCAATATGGTAATCTTATTTATCTTTGCCCACAACTCCCAATTCAATTCAACAAACTTTTGTTAGCTGCCTACTTGTGTTGGTAATATGAAGACATAAGTAAAATAGTCCCTGTCCTCAAGAAGCTTACATTCTCCTGGGAGGGATACAATATGTACCCAGATAAATAAATACAAGATGAGACAGAGAGAGAAAGGAAAGGAAGAAGGGAAAGAGAGACAGAGAGAGGGAAGGAGGAAGGGGGAGAGGGAAGGAGGGAGGAGGGAAAGGGGGAGAGAGAGAAAATGGGAAGGAGGGGGAGAGGGAGACAAAGAAAGAGATGGAGAGACAGAGACAGAATGAAAAAGAGAGACAAACAGAGAGACAGGACATGGACTGGAGAAATGAGGAAAGGCCTCCCAGTGGAGACAGATAAGCTGAACCGTAAAGGAAAAGGAATCAGGAGGCAGAATTTAGCAGGGAATGCATCCTAAGCATTGGTGATGGCTTGTAGGAATGCATACAGGTGAGAGATGGCATGGGAAGTCTGGGGAACAGCATCTAGTCCAATTTGGCTGGAATGTAAAGTGCACTGTGGGGAATAGTGTGAAATAAGGCTGGAAATGATGCTTAATAATGATAATTCCCTCCCATGAATTGAATGGAATGCAATATGGGCACAAAGTTCTTTTCTCACATCTTGAGGAGGGAAGCTCACTAGGTATTATTATCCTCATTTTTTAGAGGAAGAAAGTGGGGCCTAGAGAGAAGTGACTTTCCTAAGATCACATATGGAATCAGAGCAGGAGCTGGAACTCAAAACCAGGCCACCTGACTGCCACCAGGACACGGGCTTTGCCTTCCTGATTGAGATAAAGATCACAGCTGCTATGCCGCTTGCCCTCTGCACACATGCTGACCAAGGGCAGGGGAAAGTCAACTCTGAATTAAAAATCTGCTGTGTTTGGAGCACGGGGAGGGAGGGAAGGAAGTCATTAGTGCAAGCTGGCTGTCTTGGAGCCAAAAAGAGAAGCCCAGCTGTTAGCAGCATCCATAGTCAGTTGCAAAGACCTACCCACCCACATCAGATCCAAGGTCAAATCATCCCTCCCCTGGCTCATCTAAAACACCCCTCATCATCTCAAATCCAATGCAATACAATGAGCATTTATTAGGAGCTTACTATGTGCAAGGCACTGTGTTAGGTACCAGGGATACAAGGGCAAAATGGAAAATGGTCCCTGCCCTCAAGAAGCTTACATTCTACTGGAGGGTTTTACATGCACAGATAATTATATGCATGAAAATTGAGGATGGAACACCAACAGCTGGGGGCATCAGGAAAGGGATACTTCCAGGGGAAAACTACTGCTTTACCCCTCCTTGGACTCTTAAGTGAGAAGTTCTTCCTTGGCTTGTTTTGAAAGATCAACCCAACTAGACATCTTGCTCCTAAATCCCATTCTCTTTGCATGGAAAAGAACAGCTCTATGTAGCCACCATGACTCCATTAATGGTAAACACACAGAGGCAGTAACCACAAGGAGAAGGCTCTTCCATTCCCCCCTCTCCCAGTGGCCTTGTTCACTGCCACAAGATGGGAGTTCCATCACTTAACATTTATTAATGTTAGGAGGACATTTTATAGCCTCTAGTTTTGGGACCACAGCTGGGCCCCATAAAGTTCTCTAGTGCCCCCTTTCTGCATGCAATCTTCTACTTGGAGGGGTTGATGTCAAACACTACAAGAGGGTCTGGCCCTGAGGAGCTAAAAGCAGGAGAAGCATCCTAGTGACCCAGCCTGAGGGTGACCCAGGTGAGTTGAGGCCCTAATCAGTCTCCAGCTCTCGTTTTTGTCGTGGGTGAGACTCACAGACCCAGATAAGAGACCCTGGTGGAGGCATGCAGATAAAGCAGGCACAAGCTGAGATGGGTTGGACCTGCACTTTTATTTGGGGCAAGAGGACCAAGACAAGCAGGATGAGGCTTAGGTCCTGGAAGGGAAAGAGCTTCTCCTCCCCAGGCTGACCCCTAGGCAGTGGGGACAAGGGACTGGTGCATGCAAGCCTCTTGCTTCCCAGTCATAGGATCACACATTTGGAACTGGAAGGGACCTTAGAGGTCATCTAGTCCAAACCCCTCATTTTATGGATGAAGAAACTGAGAGGTTACCCAGAGAAGTTATGTGACTTGCCCAAGGTCACACAGGTAGTAAGTGGCAGAGCAGGGTCCTTTGCCCCAAATCCATGCTCTTGTGGCCTTGCCGATGTCCTGTCCCCATAGGAAGTTCAGGGGGAAAAGGAGAAAGAGAGAGGGAAGAAGCTCTTGGGTCCTAGGGACTCAGGTATTCCACTTCCCGATTGTAAACGCCTGCGGAGTCGGGCGAAGTGGATGCCACCTGGAGGCTGGGGTATCAGTCCTCACAGGATGACTGGGCGGCTAGGAAGAAGTCAGTCACCCTGGCAAAAAGTGGAGGGAGGAGCCAGTCACTATGGCTACAGCAGAAGTATTCCTTCGGGGTGGTGGGGCAAAGGTCAGTCACCATAGCAACAGCTCTAAGTACCCTCAGCCCTGATCACCATGGCGACTGCTAGAGGACCCCTTTCTCTCCCAGAGACTGGGATAGGGCTCTCGGGGATGTCTAGGATGCTTTCACAAAGGGGCGGGGCAGATTGGTCTTGTGGTCGAAGTCTTGAGACATCTCCACCACCACCGCCAGGGGAGGAGGGGCAGAGGCCTAAATTCCTTCCCTGGGGGCGGGGTAGATGCTGGTCCCCATGGCAACACCTAAAAAAAAATGCCCTGATTGGGGAGATTGGAGTGGATGTTGATCTCCATGGTGACACCCAGAAATCCCTCCGGCCGGGGTGGGGGGGGGCAATCAGATGCTGGTCCCCATGGCAACATCTTAGAAAACCCCTTCCCTCAAGAGGCAGAAACGTATGCTGGTCCCCATAGCGACATTTAGAAGTCCCTCCCCGGGGGTGTGGCAAATGCCAAACCCCCTGGTGACCGCTGGGGGAGCCCTCCCTGGAGCGGCCCCCAGCTAGACGTGAAGGGGCCGCCAGGCGCTTGGGTCCCTCCAGCCCCAGCCCCAGCGCGCTGCTCCTGGGTCCGGGGAGCCTGGCGCGCGGTAGCAGTAGACGCCGAAGAGGCGGTGCTTCTTGTCGGGGAAACCAAGGTTGCGCACGCCCGGCCTCTGGCCTCCGCAGCGAGCCCGCGGGTTGACGATGGGGTAGCGCACGCTGCCGTCGCCCAACCAGCCGGCCTCGCAGCGATCCAACAGTTGCAGCTTCCACGCGGCATACAGCTGGCCCACCTTGGCCACCGCGGCGCCGCTGCCCGCACACGCCCGCACCGCCTCCGGAAAGCTCACCTTGCGGTAGGGCTTCAGGAAGAATACCTGACCTGCGGACACAGACACAGCGGGCGGCCTCGGGCTCAGAGAACAATCCTGGGCCAGACCCAACCTTCAAGCCTCCTTCCCCAGTCCCGCCCCTACCCTGCACCTCGTCCTGAGGCACCTTGGGGAGCTCTGGGACACCTTGAAACACATGAGATTCTCTACCTAATCACCCCACCTTCCCCTCCCCCCAAAAAGACTCATATCTTCAGGGTAGATTTCCTTGACTTCTCTCCTTACTCAACACCTTCCTTAGCTCCTCCCCCCCCAACCCCAAGAGCTCCATTACTCCTCATCCCCTAAAGCTTCCCAGTGTAGACGCATTCCATGCCTCACATTCAGGGATACAATCTACACACCAATAATCACATTCACACACCCACCTCCCACCCCCAAGTAAACAACCTTAACATAACACAGTACACTGAGTCAAAAGCACAAATATACACAGCCACATACTGTGTCACATACACAGAGCCACATCTGGACACTGTGTCACCCACAATTAAAAACACAGCCTTATGCACACTCGGATGAGCTATCAACAACATTCATTCATTCAACTGTTGCTGAAACTTGTTTAATACTGGACCCTTGAGATCTTCTTGTGATGTTGGGAAAACATATCTATAACCCAGGCTCACCGCCCTTCAAAAGGCCACAGTCTAGTTAGGGGGATCAGGCACAGACCCACAGAGCTACGACACAAACTGCACCATGATGAGAGAGAAAAAGAATGCTGAGGGGGCTCAAGGGATGGAGGGAAGAGAGGACAAATAGCAGAGGCTTCTTAGAGGAGGAGGAGGTGGCTTCTGAGCTGGTCCTTGAAGAAAAGACTGATTGAGACAAAATCATAGGGGGCCTCCAATGTCAGGCTGTTTTAGACTTTGTCCCGTGGGCCACCCAGTCATTGATGGTGTATGAGCATGGGAGGGTTTAGAGACAGACCACTGATTTGGAGTCCGCTATTCCATTGGTTCAGATTCCAGCTCTGACACTGACTGTGGACATTGATTTACTCTCCTGGGTCTCACTTTGCTCATCTGTAAAATGAAGGAGCTGGACCAGATGATGCCTCAGTTTCCTTCCAGCTGTAAGTTATAGGAACATAGATTTAGAGCTAAAAGGGGCCACCATCAAGTCTGTTGCTGTTGTTTGGTCATGTCTGACTCAGTGACCCCATTTGGTGTTTTCTTGGCAAAGTTACTGGGGTGATTTGCCATTTCCTTCTCCAGCACATTTTATAAATGAGGAAACTGAAGCAAACAAGGTGCAGTGCCTTGCCCAGGGTCACACAGCTAGTAAGTGTCTTAGGCTGGATTGGAACTCAAGATCAGCCTCCCTGACTCCAGGCCTGGCAATCTATTCCCTACAGCACCACCTGGCTGCCATCAAGTCAAACTCCCTCAAAAAGCTTGTCCAGAAGAGAGTAGCCAGAAGATGAAAGAAAGGTCGGGAGACCATGCTGTACTAGAAGGAGGTCTGGCAGTTTATCCTGGGTAAAAGAAGACTGAGGGGAAGGTGGTAGCTTTCTTCAAGTATAGAAAGGGCTGCCTCATGCAAGAGCAATTAGATTTGTTCTCCTCAAAGGCTGATGCTAGGAGCAGTGGTTAAGAGTTGCAAAGAGTTGCATTTGAGACCATTAGAGGATATTCTTTTGAACAGTGAGATCAATCCAAAAGTAGGCCTGGCTGCCCCAGGATATCCAGGTGGATATCCCATCCCTGAAGGTCTCGCCACAGGATGCTTGATGCCCAGTTGTCTAGTATGTTGGAGTAAAGGGATTCTTGCTGAAGTACAAATTGGATTCCATGGCCAAGTCTGAGCTTCTGTGACTCTGGAGAGGGTCAAGGCCAAAATGAACCTGACGTTTCAGGTCTAGAGATCTGGTATGTGTTTGGTGATGGGTTGTAAGGGTAGGAAAGGATAGTGGCACCACTGACCACTGAAGAACAGGTTTTCAAGAAAGTGCGTTGGGTTTTGGGGGAGGATGAATTTGAGGTTATCCAATATCAAATCATCCCATGAAGTTACACAGAGATTCACACAATAATACACACAGTTAGCATCCTTGCATACACAATATCAAAAACAATCTCTCTCTCTCTCTCTCTCTCTCTCTCTCACACACACACACACACACACATACACACACACACACACACCAGCAGTCACACAAACCACATAGAGTTGCAGACAGAACATTTCCCTGTGTTTCCAAAAGCAGGGCCCATTACTGGCCCTTCCAAGGTGCCTTTCACTTGCCCAAGGCCTATACATAGCTTTAGAAGTTTCAGTTGACTCCAGTCACCCAGGGAGTCTCCCTCTAAGCACCCCTAATACCCATGCAGAGGAATGCCCAGAGACATCTATCAGTTCTGGGAGACTGGGGATGAATGAGTTCCCACTACCACCTGCTGCAAAAGTGAAGCCTCCGGTGGACTTGCAAAGGAGAAACATTCGTGGGTACTTCTTTGAAGTCTGAGTGAAAGGGTGTCTTATCTGCAGGGAGCCAGGCCCTGCTGAAGATGTGGCTAGTGCAGCCACAGTCTCTAACTAAGTCCTGTGAAGGACAGGAAAGTGAACAGAGGGGATCTTTTAAAATTGGGATGAGGGGAGGGCAACCAGAATTGCAGGGCAGGGAGCTGACTGGAACTGGAAGATCAAAAGCTTGGGTTTTGACCAGTGGGCGGGCCTGGGAAAGAATGTAGAGGATTGAGGTGGGGAGAGATGTTGGAACTGGAGATCAGGAAGGGTTGATGGGGTAGTATTGAAGGTGGAAGGGTGGACAGGACGGTGAAGTGGCTGCTGGGAGAATAGGTAGAGGATAGGGTGGGGGTGAGGGAGGCAGAACTAAGAGACTAAGCGGCCACTTGGCGGCCTGAGTGGGTCAAGAGGAGGGTAAAGGGCTGGTTGGGTGAGGATGGGGTTGGGGGATGGGCAGTATGTGGCAGGGGCCCGACTGGTGACTGCGATGAATGGAGGCAGAAATGAAAGTCGGGGCAGAGCAAAGGGGAGGGGGAGGTTGGGGAGAGGCCAGCAGCCCAGGTTGGGCACGCGCTCACCCTGCAGATTGGACGTGAAACAGAAGGCATCGTAGCGCTCGTCTTCCTTGTGGCGGTAGCCGTAGTTGCGCACGCCCACGGGAGCCTCGCGGCGGCCACACTCTTCGCGCGGCTGGCCCACCGGGTACTGCACCGAGCCGTCCTGCAACCAGCCCGCATTGCACCAGTCCAGACCCTCGCGCCACGCCGCGTGCAGCTGCTCATAGGACGCCAGGATGCCATCCTGCTCGGCGCACGCCCGCTGTGCCTCAGGATAAGTCAGCGTGTAGCGGCCCAGGCGAGGATGGTAGGGAAAGATCACACCTGATTTGGAAAGGGAGTGGAAAACCCTGGCTTGAGAAGGCCCGGGCTCAGAAACACCTTTATCCGACCCTTTGTCCCACCCGTCATCCTTCCTGCACAGGTCACCAGAGTCACCTCCCCAAAGCCTACAATGTTACATCCGACCCCATTCCCAGCTTTAGGGTCCCAAAGCCCAACTCCTGTCTGCCCCTCCATGGCTCAGGCACCGACCAAGACTTTCCTTGTCCCCAGGAGATGACCACACTCTTCAGCCTGAGAGTCGAGGCTCCCTATTACGAAACCCCAATCTGCCTTGACTGTCTTATCTTCCCCTGACCCCTTTTCACCCATCATCCATGGCTAACCAAACTGGAAAACTCACCTCTTTGCCTTTGCTCATGCAGTTCCCCATACCTGGAATGCCCTCTCCCCATCTAAATTTGCTGTGGGATTCTAAGGTTATTTCCTCTTCCTTAGTTCCAGTTTCCCCATCTACAAAATGAGTTGAATTTGACTATTTCTACAATGCTTCCAACTCCAGCATTGTGTTCTGCCTTCCAAAATCCCTTCTAGCTCTGAGATTCTATGTTCCAAGGGGCTCTTCCAGCTCTAATGCTCTGTAGTTCTTTGAAATCCTGCTGGTTTTACTAGTCGAGGTCCAACCTTCTCTGATCCACAAAAGCAGAAGTGATTTTTTCCCTCCTCTGAACCTCTCCCCCTTCCGGATTTTCTACTGTGCCTCAGTCTAAGGACTCTTATCCCGCTCTGCTTTGTATGGGAAGTTACACTCATCTTATTCCCCCTACTAGATTAAGGCACCTGAACAGGACCATGCCATATTCATTTTTCTGTTTTCTCAAGCCCAGAGCAGGCACTCTGTAAATAATATCACAAAAAGATTAGCCCATCAGACATGGAAAGCACCTTCAACTTGACCTAGTCATTTTAGAGATGAGGAAACTGAGGCCTACCTCCTGCTGCCTAAATGTTGGTATCCCTCAAGGCTCTGACCTGGTCATCTTTCTCTATATGTTCTTCTTTTGGTTCAGTTAATCATTCACATGCAAATGACTCTTAAATCTTTATATCTAGCCCTAATCTTACCCCACCCCAATTGAAATTAAAACCTGTATCACCTACTGCATGCTGAACATCTCCACCTGGATTTCCCATCAGCATCACAAACTCAACATATCCAAAAAGGAACTCATCATCTCCCCCCCCCCCCCCCGGCTTCATACTTGGGTCTTTCTGATGAGGGTACCACCAACATTTTATCATCTACATTCATGACCTTGGAATTATCTTTGACTGTTTGCTCAGTCTTACCACCATGTCCATTCATCTGCTAAATCTTTCGTAGTTTACCCATAAAAGTTATCTCATATCCAACTCCCTTCTTTGCTTACACTGACATCACCAATAATTCAGGACCTCATTTCCTTTTGATTATTGTAATAGCCTCCTAATTGGTCTCTGCTGGCAGGTAGCTAGATTTATATGGCATTTTAAGGTTTGCAAAGTATTTTGCAAATACCATTGTGGTTATAATCCCCATTTTGCATTTAGGGAAACTGAGGCTGAGAGAATGACTTGCCCAGAGTCAAGATGCTAATAAGTATCTGAGGTCAGACTTAAACTGAGGTCTTCCTGACTCCAAGTCCAGCACTCTACCCACTATGCCAGCAGCTGCCTCAACCTCCTTTATCTTCAATCTCTTTTCCATATGAGGGCCAAAGTAACCCTCCTACAGCAGATTTCTAAGCATATCACTCCCCTGCTCAAAAACCTTATTGGTTCCCCACTGCCTCTAACAGCTCCTTATCATCTCTCTTCAACCTGCCTTTCCAACATTATTTCAGATTATTCTAGATCACCCTGTACATTCTAACCATATAGACTACTTAATGACTGTTTTCGAACTGGACATGTCACCTCACCCCTCCCTGCATCTGTACTAACCATTCCCTATTCCTAGAACGCATTCCCTTCTCATTTTTGCTTCTCAGAATCCTTATCTACCTTAACAACTCAGCTGAGCTGCCACTTTCCATTGGGAGCCTTCCCTGATTCCCCCAAGATACCCTTACTCTCCCACTCTTTAAATTACCTTATCTTTACTTGTTTGTATTCATCTTGTACTCCTCTAGGAGAATGTAAACCAGGATTGGCGACCCCGTGGCCTTGAGGCCACATGTGGCCACAACCCTGATGTAAACTCTCTGAGGGAAGGGACTGTTTTGTTTTTGTCTATGTATACCTAAGTACCTGAGTTCCATGATCTTAGCCTACATTAGGGAGATTGAGTAGCAGAGTCAGGACTAGACACAGAATTATTTGTTGACTAAAAGAAAGACTGCCTATCCCCCAATGCTGACTCCCAGTCTTATTCAGGGAACTGGTTCCCTCATCCATCTGCCAAAGGAGGTCCCAGGGCCCTTCCCCCAAGGACACATACATTCTTGTCTTCATGGGTCTTAAGGCAGCACAACCTCACCTATTAGTGATTCTGTTGGGGGGAGGGGGATTTCAAATGAGGACAGAATAGAGGGGAGGGTATTTGAAACCATATTTGGGATTAATGGACAGCCCTTCTTAATCCACCCCTTCTTAATGCTACTAAAACCACAAAACCTAGAAGTATGATTCAATGGAAATAACAATAACAATAATTATTATTGTAACTAGCATTTATATAATATTTTAAGGTAAAACAAAGTGCTTTATATATGTTGACTCATTTGATTCTTACAGTAACCCTATGAGTTCACCCCTGTGAGATAGTTACTATTATTATCCCCATTTATAGAAGTTAAGTGACTTGCCCAGGATCACACAGCTAGTAAGAGTCTGAGGTAGGACTTGAAATAGGTCTTCCTATTTCAAATCCCACTCTCTATTCATGGGCCTCAGAATCAGAAGGTCCAGATGAGAATTCCAGCTCTAGAACTTATCAGCTGTATGATATTGGGAAAATCACCTAACCCATCCGTGTCCCAGTTTCTCCATCTGTGAAAGAGGGAAAAGAATTCTCAGTTTACCTGCCTCAGAGTTTGTTTTGAGGAAATTGCTTTGTAAATATTAAAGTACAATTGGAATGTGAATTATTATTCTTAAAGATCAGGTGTTCTCAGAATGTGGTCTGGGGACCCTAAAGGTCTCCTAGACCTGTTCAGGGGGTCTTTAAGATCAAAATTACTTTCTTAATAAGTCATTTTAATTTCTAAAAACATAAATATCCTAATATAACCCATTTCAACAAAAGCTCTTTGGGGGTCCTCAATAATTTTTAAGAGTGTAAAGGGGTCCTAAGACCAAAAAGTTTGAGAACCATTGTTATAAACCATTCTTGGGACCCACTTTTACCTATGGATAGGGCCAACCTAGTCCCGAAAATCTTTTAAGCCCAAAGTAGGCCCCTAATCTGTATTGCTAGAGGGAGAGGTATCTCTGATTTATTCCCACCCACCTGGCTGAGTCTCACTGACTTAGACCACTCTGTCCTAAATCAAGTCTTCCTTCTAAGTGTTCTCACCTGGTCTCTTCTAGCTCAGAGATCTTCTTTTACTGCCCCAAACCCTACAGCATTTTTTTTGTATCTTCCTGATATCATGTGTTGTTATATGTTTTAGCCATCTAGACCTATCATGTAAACTACTCTCTCCCCCCAGTGCCCAGCTCTGTCGACAAGAAATTGGACACTGAACACATTTTTGTTGAACTGAATTGTTCAAGGATCTTTGGAGTCTGAGATACTGTGATTCTTGGATCCTGAAATCAATACTAATAAAAATCCAGGCTTTCACGGAGACTGAGTTGAGAAAGCCGCCTAATCCACCCTGTCCTTGGAAACAAACTTCCTGTACAATCTACCTGACAAGGGGTGATCCAGCCAGCCAGTGGAAATTCATTAGAACGTGAGCTCTTTGAGAGCAAGGACGGTCATCTTTGGGTTTCTATTTCCATCACCAGCACAGTTCTCCACATAGAGTAAGCACTTAATAAATATTTTTTCATTCATCCATTCACTCATTCATTCAGGGATCGTGAACCCACTGCCTTGGGAAGCAGCCCATTCCACTTTGGGAAAGCTCTAATTGTTAGGAAGTTTTTGGGTTTTTTTTCCCCTGAAATCAAGACTAAACCTGCCTCTGTAATTTCTACCCTTTGCTCTCAGTTCGGCCCCCTGAGGTCTAGGAGGACAACAACAAAATTCCTTTTCTCCATGGCGGCCCTTTAAACACTTGAAGACAACTGTCTTATCTCCCCCAGTTTTCTCTTCTCTGGCCTACACATCCCTAGCTCCTCCAGTCAATCCTCACATACCATGATTTGACCTCTTCACCATTTTCGTCGTGCTCCTCGGAAAAGCAACTTATCAGTGTCTTTTTACAATGTAGTGTCCAGAACTAAATATAATCATTTAGATGTGGTCTATCTGGAGGAGAGTAAAGTAGTCCTAACCTTTCCCTTTTTGTGGGTGCTAGATACCTGTCTTCATGCAGCCTAAGAAGGCATGAATTGTCTTAGCTGCCATATCACACTGTTGACTCCTAGTAAGCTTACAGGGTCACTGAAACCCCTAGATCTTTTTCAAACAAATTATACTTGCAAAGCTGGGAGTAAGGGAAAGGGGCAGAGTTTAATCCTAAATAAAAGACTGCTTTTTATCCCCAGTAGACTTCTTATTAGATTCGGGTCAATAGTCTTGTTTAAGATTTTTCTGAATCCTGATTTTTATCATCCAAACAATTAACAAGAATTTATTAAGCACCTACTATGCGTTAGGCACTGTGCTAAGCACTTTGGATACAAAAACGTAAGTTGAACAGTCAATTCTCTCAATGAGCTGAGGGCATTCTCCTGAGGGCATAAAACATGTATAGGGATAAGTAAATATAAAGAGCTTATATTCTGTCAGGGAATGTATCATGCATATTTAGTATTCAGTATTTGAGCAATATTCTTTGTTTAATATTTGGGCAGCTAGGTTGCACAGTAGATAGACTGCTGGGCTTTGTGCCAGTAAAGGCTCATCTTCTTGAGTTCACATCCAGCCTCAGACCCTTACTTACTAGCTGTGTGACCCTGGGCAAATCACTTAACCCTGTTTGTTTCAGTTTCCTCAACTGCAAAATGGGGATAACTGCAGCATCTACCTTTTATGTTGGTTGTTGTGAAGATCAAATGAGATCATCGTAAAGCACTTAGCACAGTGCCTGAAACATAGTAAGTGCTCTATAAATGTTTATGTTTATTCAGTAGGCACCTAGACGGTACAGTGGATAGAGTGCTAGGCCCAAATTCAAGAAGACCTGAGTTCAAATTTAGCCTCAGACACTTATGAGCTGTATGACCTTGGGCAAGTCACTTAACCTATATATGTCTCAGTTTCCTCAACTGTAAAATGGGGATATACCAGTTGCTGTTCAGTCATTTCAGTTTCTTCATGACCCCATTTGGGGTTTTCTTGGTAAAGATACTGTAGTGGTTTGTCATTTCCTTCTCCAACTTATTTTGCAGATGGGGAAACTGAGGCAAATGGTTACGTGATTTGCCCAGTGTCATAGAGCTAGTAAATGTCTGAGACCAGATTTGAACTCAACTCTAGGCCCAGCACTCTATCTACTTCACCACCTGGCTACCCTAATATGACAATACCTATGTTTAATGGTTGTGAGGATCAAATGAGATATTTTTTAAATGCTTAGTACATAGTAGGCACTAAATGCTAGCTACTGTTATTTATAAGTACATTCAAAGTAGATACCAAATTAACTTGGGAGAAGGGCATTTGCAACTTGGGGCAGGGGGTCAACAAAGGCTTCACATCGAAGGTTGTATTTGAGCCAAATTTTGAAAGAAACCAGGTTCCCTACAAGGCAGGGGTGAAGAGGGAGAGCATTCCAGGTCTGGGGAGAGCTGAAGCAAAGACAGGCCTGAGATGGAGACAGATGATGGAGACAGAAATGGCATGGAAAGAACAGCAAGGAAGTCAGTCTGTCTGGACCCCAGAGTGTGGAAAGAGGAGTGATGTAAGAACAAAGTTGCAAAGGTAGCTTGGGGCCATATTAGAAAAGGCTTTAAAAGTCAAACAGAAGAGTTTACATTTGATCCAGAAAGAAACAGGGAGCCATTGGAGTCCATTGAGAAGAGGAATAACATGGCCAGACCTGAGCTTTAGGAAAATCGCTTTGACAGTTGTGTGTAAGATGAGTTAGAGGGAGAGGCTTGAGGCGGCATGGAGATTAATTGCATGGTTATTGCAATAGTCTATGTGTGAGGTAATGAGGGCCTGAAATAGGGTGGTGGCTTGTGTGCATAGAAAGAAAGGGATGGTTGTGAGAAATGTTGTAGGGATAGAAATGAAAAGATTTGGCAACTGATTGGATATGTGGGGTGAGCTCAAGAGAGGAACTGATGATAACACCAGGGTTATATGACTGGGAGGATGGTGGTGCCCTTGATGTGACAGGGAAGTTAGAAAGAGAGGACAGTTTTGGGGAGAAAGATAATTAGTTCTATTGTGGACATTTTCAATTTGGGATGTCTACAGAGCATACAATTTGAGACATCCAAGAGGCAGTTGGTGATGAGAGACTACGTCATGAGTGAGGTTAGGTCTGGATTTTTAAATCTGGGAATCATCAACAGAGAGATAATAATTGAATCCATGGTAGCTGCTGAGATCACCAAGCAAAAAGTTCCATTTAAAAGTTCAAACCATTTGAGTCCAGTTAATCACTTATGAACCCACATAACTGTACCATCATCAAGCTTTCATCTTTTTCATGGAAATAGCAGAAACCTTGTCAAATGGCTTGCTGATATCTACATAGACCGTGTCTACAGCATACTCTGATCTTCCAATCAGAGATCTTCCACCCCAACAAAAAAGGATATTGGATTAATCCATTGTAAGCTATTCTCAGGGAAGCCATGTTATTTCTTTGTGATCACTGCTTCCTTTTTTCAATGTTAACAAACCATCCCTTTAAAAATATATTATAGAATTTTGCCAGCGATTAAAGTAATTGGTGTTACTCTCTTACTTTACCTTCAACCTGCAAAGCTCTTTGCAATCTACAAAGCAACTGTTGGGGAGGCAGGGCAGGAATTATTATCCCTTTCGTAGTATTACCCCCTTTGTGTGAAAATGAGACCTGTTTGCAAACTCAAGTCTAAGGAGGAGGTGCCAGTTCCAGATTAACTGAGGTCTAGATGAAAGTGTGGTCACTGAGGTTGACTTGGGACAAGCATTCCAGGGCAATGCATCAAACCATAGCACTTTCTCCATCTACTTTTACTGAACTGAGAAAAACTGCTGAGTGAGAATGCTTAGGCTTAGACTTTCTAAGGCCCAGAGCCGGCCTCTGTCCTACCATTTAAGGGATTGCACAGGACAGAGCCATTATTCACTGGCACACTGTCCTCTCCTTCCCCAAGGAGAGGGGTTGTTGGCTGAGAGAGAGCTCAAGGCTGTCCCCCCTGGCCTTAGCTCCACTCTCTCTATCAGAGAGAGCTTGTACTTTGAGTTGACCCCGCCTTGGGGTACAGGATAAAAAGAATGCAAAGAAGAAAAGACAATGTCTAGAGCCCCTTCAGCCCCAGTGGTCTCTAGGTCATGCCCTCCAGTGAGGGGGATAATGAGGAATGGTTCCCAGAACTCTGTGCCTGATGGAAGTCCACCTCTTCATAGAAGGAGAAGCAATGTTGGGAGAAAGGACTTGCCCTCTAAAGAGGTTCCCACTATGACTTCTCAGCTAGATACCTCCATCCTCTGATGTCCTCATTTTTCCAATGGAAATCACAGAATTTCAGATCTGGAAGGGATCTCAAAGAACATTTAGCCCTTAACAAGAATATCGTTGACAACATACCTGATAAGAGGTCATCCTCTCCAGCCCCCAATCACATAATATACACTCTGCTGAGTGGCTCAGTAGATAGAGCACTGGGCCTGGAATCAGGAAGACCAGAGTTCAAATCCCACTTCAGATACTTACTAGTTGTATGACCCTAGGCAAGTCACTTAATCTCTATCTGCCTTAGTTGCAAAGAAGGGTAATAAAAGCACCTATCTTCCAGAGTTGTAGTGAAGATTAAAATGAGATAATATTTGTAAAGTGCTTTGCAAACCTCATAATGATATATAAATGCTCGTTATTAATTATTGTGAGTATAATAGCTTTGACTGAAAGAACCATAGGCAAAGGGGGACACAGACAAGGCAATGTTGGTACTACCAGATTAAATTTAATGTATATTAAAAGGAATTAAGTTGTATGTAAGAGTTTTGTCATTTCACATACAATCTCCATTTTCTGTTCTTTGGTGAAATATTCATATTGATTATTTTCTAATTCACAGTAAAAAATTAAAAAGAAAAAAAGACTATAAATGTTGGGTGTTGAATTAAAACTCACTCCTTGATAACCAGTGACACTATTTTCTTCCGATAGCACAACTCTATGCCACTTCTTGATTCCCCTAATCAAAACACCCCTCTGCAGCATCCATTTTCTTATTTCTCCAGTCAAAATGTTGGTTATACTTTCTGATTTGTCCAATGGAAATGCCCCTACACCATCCCACTTCCTTATTCCTTTTATTAAAATGCCCTCACAGGACATCCCACTTCTCTTTCCCTTGTCTCCTGCATTGACCCAGGGCCAGGTACCTTCTAAGTCCAAGCTGACCATGCCAGCGTCATCCTCGAGCTCATTGGTGACCTCACATTCATAACGGCCATAGTCCTGTAGCGTGACATTTCGGATAATCAAGGAAGCATCTCCA